TCATTGTATCGCCGAATAATGTTGTAGATAGTAGATCGAGGGGTTTTGGTGAGCTTTGAGTGAGATCCTGCTTGCTGGAAGACCAATCTGGTTTTGAAATATCACTGCTTCTCTTTGATGTTTGGGAACCATATCAAGAGCTTTCGACCTGAAACCTGGAAGGCAAATAGATCTGTAGTAGATGTTGCTTCACTCAAATAATCACCTGGCTATCACTTGTCCAACGGTTTTTTCAATAAGTGTCCAAGGACTTTTGAGTCACCCCGTACATTGAAAAAAGGAAGATCCAGACGCCAATATGAAAGTCAAAACAGTCTTGAATTTGGCATAATTTCGGTACAGTAGCCGGCAACACTGGGGGACGGTAGCAGAGCAAGCAATCTACGTCTAATTGAACGACAGCTAACATTTATTTTAATGGCGAAATGGAGCACCGCAAACAGCAAAAAAAAACACTTTTCGTCATCTGCGAGTCAATATCTTTCTCATGGTTAGTCTCCTGAGAACCACCCAGGAGTGCCTACCCAGGGAGGAAAAGAAGAAATGAAATTTACATCCTCCAAAAACGAGATTCAGCGTATTCCACAACCCCGTGGAGGTGGAGCTTCAAGGGACTATGCCCAATATAATGTTATTTTGGCCCTTAAACAGAATTCAATAAATCAGATATCATTTGAAAGGGTGTCTTTTGCAGAGTAATAAAATATGACTTTTACTCAAATCTGAAGGATTTGAAAATGTAAGTTTGGATTAAGGTACGTTATTTTGCATGCGTTTTTTCAACAGCACGCATACTTTTAGCAGTTTTGTGGGGAGGGAACTGCAGACTACCAAGGAAAAATAAATATAAATACAAGTGAATTGCATTTCCTAAAATATAAGTGTATCTAAGCATCATTAACTTGTATGACATACGCAAGTACTGTTGCTAAATTTTCCAATTCCAAGCTGAAGTTCATAGTTTACTTCCAAAATAATGTTTTTCTAGGTTTTTAGAATGTGGAAGGCATTTATAGGAAGTCCCAATTGAAAACAGCATAAGCACTTACCCTAACCTCGATTGGATCTCATTTAGTTTGGAGAATGATTTATAGAATCAAAATGAAGACAGCAATTTCAACGCTAAAATGACGCCACAATTAAGCTATTATCTTCAGCAGAATAAAAGTTATTGCAGAAAGAGTTTCACAATTCCTGTCTACATATGCTCCAGGAGGCAAAAACAGGTCATATTCAAATTCGTATATCTTGAGATCTGTGGGAGAGATAACACGTTTGGTTGAAATTAGTTTCTTTAAATCGATTCCTCTACGTGTTTACTGATTTTCGTCAAATCGGAGATGATCGAGCTCATTCTCTGGTCGAATTGGAGTGGAATGGCCCAAAAAAAAGATGTACACTCTAGGACCAAATGATTTAATAGAACATAACATTAACCTGTCTATTGCAGATGGTCTAAGGGAGGACCAGCTATTGGAAATGCAGAAAAATGAGGGAAAATACCATAGAGACGATGACAAAGAGAAGCTACGTCTGGCGGCAATTAATAATCTTGAGTCATTTTTACTGCACGGCAAGGAAGTAACAAATAATATCATGGACCAAGCCTCCAGGTGTCTTAATGTCCGCAAGATTTGGCCTCATATTTCTATCTGATAAATTCATGCATGATTGACTATTGTTGATACGTGCACATTCTTTCATACCTGTAGCTGGAAGGCAAGAATTTGGTGTCCAATCAAAAGGAATTTGAAAAACTATGGCGGCCCATTATTGCAATGATTGACAAGGAAGCTGATGGTAAGAGGATTTCATTTATTGCGTCCTCATGTAATCCTAGCATCAGAGCTAGCACAGTCGATAAGGAATAAATATGCTAACATCGTTTTGCATTTAAACATATTCCTCCCTCTCCCACCATACACAAATTGACATTAGGGTGATTCACTTCCTCTATGAAGTGCAGTCTTCGTGTGATTGGTTCATCAAGGGATATTATATTCATAAAGTTAACATTTTTACGTTTGTCTGTTCTTCGATTAGAAATATAATTGAGACGAGGTCCCTTAAAATTTGCGTCTCCAGGAGATAGACCCAAAGGGAGTTTTCCCGGATTAGCAAGGGAAGGGCTACTTGTGTACTTTTCAGCTTTCTGTGACATCTGGATACATCACTAGGGGTTGGTTGATGAGTTAACTCCGGGTCGGAAAAGCACGGTGTTAAATTCAGGACTATACGATCCGTTGATTGATGAATCGCGGGCTAAAGGACGGATAAGCTAAACTAAGGAATAAATCAGGGGCAACATTATCCCCCTCCTAGGGCAGTGCTATCTTGTTCCGTCCATGATGAGAAAGCTAAATTTACGGGAGGACAACACGCCATGCTATATTCATGCTAGGCTTTATGCTAACTGGTATGCAATAATGTATATAACTGATAAAATATAAATTTTGGTATCAAATAATGAGCTTGATAGGTTGGCCATATGCATGCACATTTTATACCTATAATGATCGTGTATCATTCCAGGTATAAAAATATAGATAACTCCAACCTGATATGATACATGGCTTGTTTATTCTGTTTCTAACAAGCGACCAGGGTGGATTGCAGTGAATTTTGCTAACCCAAATATAGTCGATATCCTGAATCCTTGTGCACGCTGGTAGACTCTTAAAGAGTCAAATGGTAATGAGGTTTATTAGATGAGTGTCACTGCGGACGATGACAAATGAGAGCAATAATGTTGATAAAGGGGAATTTTTGTTTATAAATGCCCGAGCTTAATGGCCTGTCCTCATCCCTTTTTCTTTGAAATTTCATTTTTGGAGTCTTCTATCAACTCCGTTGACAAGTGCTAATCCCTTTTATGGTGGTCCTCCGGCGAGCTGGAAATGCCACTGCACAAGGATTTCGGATACATACTATAATTATATGAACCGTCGCGACTTATGTCGAGCGCAGTGACTCTGGGATGAATTAAATCCAGTATAGTTTTTGCATCAAGCTACGGCAATCGGAATTCAAGCACTGGTCTGGGAAACATGGTCAGATTAATATTTTTGAGTCATCAAGCAACACTCTGGTCTATCATGTGAGCAGATACACATGCCATTGTTCCTAGGAGCAAGACGATGGATAGGAGGTTGTCATCAGGAAAGTTCACGAATACCTCTCATGATACGCATTTTATACCAATCGTAATAGGTATGAAGATGCCTAGGAAAATAGGCCTCACGACCGATACCTATAAATTGTTATTACATACAGAACTTAACAAATTAAAGACCTATCGCCTGATACCTACCATGATAGTTACCATGTTATTGGCTATCAAGTGATGAGTTCTTGCATACAGGCCACTGTCATGGCATCTTTTGAAGATCTTTTTGAACTGAGATTACAAAAAACTTGCAAGTGCGAAATCCCGAACATCAGGAATCGTTTCAATCCTTTTACTCTACGAAAATGAAGAATTTTTAGTGATTTCGCTTGTCCGAGCAGACTGTGCTCAATTTGAGTTTTTCACTTGAATTCGACACACCTGCATGAGGATCGTCCTATGGGCATGTGTCTGAGTCAATGGAAAATTTGCCTAATTCAAGAGAAAACCACTGTTCTAGCGCATGTGCAACTCCAGGAACCCAAGAAGCATCGACGGGACTGCCTTACGGCAATGGACGAACGAATCCATCTACGTGAGAAGCATCTGTTTGTCCTACCATATGAAGTTCTCATGTTTTGACTGAATCGTAATTTTAGATGAGTTAGCGGTATACTTTAATGTACCACCATTTAAAATTCAATAGCACGAAGGCATCCAATCCAAATGGATAGCAACCAAGGAGAAGTGCAAATCTGGCTTGCAAAACTGGATTGGGAATGCACAGTGGGACAGTGGATGAGGATCCCTGGAGAACAGGGTTATCAGATTGCTGGAGAGAAGTAAGAAGCTGGGGTTTGCTAACCCGACATGATCTTCGATTCATCAAGCGACACAGGAGGATCAGTTTACCATGAGGCTACTTAACCTGATACCCATGTTTGGTTTAGCCCTTTCAATGGCGTGCAGTGCTCTAAGACACAGGTCATGCAGATGTTTCTCAATGGTGAAAAAAAAATGAAGCCAAAATGAAAAAACAAGACTTACTTCATTTGTAGGCAAAGTCTAGTCGACGTTCATTCTTAACAAACTCTTCCATCACGTGATCATAGGTGTCACAACTTTTAAGTTTGTTGAGCTGCTTCTTTCAATGCTTATAATGGAGAGTCCGGATAGTCGCGTTTGCTCAGTTCTATTCCTTAAGTAGGATCCGCTTGAGTACTGAGAATGTTCTTTCAGCAGTTGCCATAGTTGAGGGGATGGTGAGGATTAAAGTCGATAGCATGTGAGCCTCGATCATAGCATCTATTAGATCAGAGGTGTCCAACCTTTATCGGCAGTGGGCCACATGGAAATGCTTGACTCTTCATGCAGGCCATATAATGCAAAAGAAAATACTCCCCTCTTTTGCCCTCAAGGCATAAAAAAGGCATAAGGTCGCGCTGACTGACCGACGATCCTTACCCCTGCCCCACCCATAGGAAATTCCAGTGCCCGAAATTAGCCTTTGGCATTGAGAACCTTCTTACGCGAGACGAATGTAGCGCCCCCGCTTGAGGAATAATTAAAGGAAGAAAGCGAAAGGACTAAGTCTATCTCTAGTTAAGTTACTAAGGGATGAACGAAGTTCTGATGGGCCTTGGGCCGCAAATAAACTTATTTTATCACCTATGTCATTATGCATCACTGGGCCACAAGAATAAGGTCCACGAGTCACGTGCAGCCTGTGGGCCGTGGGTTGCACATCCCTGAAATAGAGCGAAATAGACTCATTCAGTATCATGCCTGAACATGCGTCACGTGCCGGGCATGCTGCATTCAGTCGAATCGACGCATGCACAACTTGGCCTGTTGTTGGATGTCAGCATGAATCCCCTTACTGAGCCTCTCAACAATGGAGCTTCCACGTCTTGTCCCAAGTGCAGGGACTAGGAAAGCTGGACAGCGAGGTGCATGGCTCCCCTATGGTTGGTTGATTAATGGAGGGCTAAGTTAGCCCCGGGCTAACTTCTCCGCAGGGTTAAGTAGCCCTGAGCTGAATTGATCCTTCCATGCCGGTTGATGAATCGAAGATTATGTTGGGGTTAGCAAACCCCACCTTCCCACTACTCTCCAGCAATCTCACAACCCTGTTCTCCTGTGATCCTCACCCATTGTCCCACTGCCCATGCGCAATTCAGTTTTGCAAGTCAGACCTTTCCATGATTGCGGTTCATTTGGATCGGACGCCTTCGTGCTAATGAATTTTGAACAGTGTTAGTAATGCATACCGCTGGCCCCTCCAACATTGCGATTCAGTAAAAGCGTGAGAACTTCACACGGCAGGACAAATAGCTGATTATCACGTTGGTGGATTCATTCATCCATTGGCATAAGGTAATCCCGTCGATGCTTCTTCGGTTCCTGGAGTTGCATATGCTGTAGTTCAGTGGTTATACAATTTTTCACATGACTCAGACACAGGTGCATAGGATGAGAGTCGAATTCAAGTGAAAAAAACATTGATCATGATAAGTATTCGTGAATTTTCTTGATGACAGTTTCCTATCCATCGTCTTGCACCTTGGAACAATGATATGTGTACCTGCTCACATGACTGAACAGAGTGTTATGTGATGATTTAATGGTATTAATCTGACCCTGTTTACCAGACTAGTGATTGAATTCCAATTGCTATGGCTTGATCCAAAGAACTCTACGAGATTTAATTTGTCCCAGAGTAACTGCATTCGACGCAAGTTGCGACGGTTTACATAATACACAGGGGTAGCAAAATCCACTCCAATCCACCCTGGAAGCTCGTTATAAGTAGAATAAACAATCCCTGGATCAGAATAGATTGAACCGATATTTTTTCCCATCATGATACCCTATCTTTGCAAGTAAAAAATGTTTCTGCATATGGCCAACCTATCGAAGCTGTCAAACTTATCAATTTATACTCCCAAAAATATATATTTGATCATTATTATACGTTTTTGCATACCAGCCAGTATACACCTTAGAATGCATGGCCTGTCGATCTCCCGTAAATTTTGGCTTCTCATCATGGAGGGAACAACTTAGCACCACCTGATGAGGGGGGTTTCATCGGAGGACGGGCGCCCTTACCCAAATGGAAAGGTGCATGCACACAGCGGGTCATTTCGCAGTTGCTATGGATACTGCAGAGACGAAATGAAAAAAACGGACTTAACCAATCGCAAGATCTCTCACTTTTTCATCTTACCAAAGGGAATGACTGATGAAGGCACAGGAAGTGGAAAGACTAATGGAGCGGCTCAGTGTTACGAATTCCAGTTGGAAAGCATAGAATTTACTCAACCATTTGGGTTGGGAAAATTTTGTTTACAAATGCACAACAACCATCAAAACGGACACCATTGCTTCTCGCCTTGGGGAAATGAAGTAACTCCAAGGATTTCCACATATATGAAAAACAACATGACGCCTTAATTACTATTTAATAAATGCATAATTGCATGCTAGACTCCCATAATAAGAAGCACCTATGCAACAGCGTAATGCCATATGAGGTCCACTTATTTGCCCATTTACAATAAGATTTCTACATGTAGCCATTATCAAATAAATCTGTGAAATGGTTGTACTCCATGTTCCCTAAAGTTGTGCATACTAATTGGAAATGATTTAGTAAAACGTTATTTGAAGAAACACATCTTGGCAGATGGTCTAACGAAGGAAGATCAAGGAGAAACAAAGGAAAAAGAGGAGGGATTTAATAGAACGGTCATAGAAGCGGCACTTCCAGGTGCATTAGAAACCCTTGAATCCTACAGACTTCAAGTGAAGAAAATGACAGACAAAATCTTTCAAGAGGCCTTCACCTGGCTCGATAACAATAAGGTTTGGCCTCATCTTTCTCTGATGAATTCACCACTGATAGAAGCTATGTTGATGATACCTGCACTTCCTTTCATATATTTAGCTGGAAGGGCAGAATTTCGAGGGCAAGCAAAATGAATTGGAGACTCTTTTGTGTCCAATTATCAGAATGAAAAGCAAGGAAGATAACGGTAAGATATTTCCACTTTGAGGCACATTATTAAAGGACATCAGAAGTTAACAATATAATTGAAGTGAATGAATGTGCTGAATGTCTGATTGTCTCGAAAACAGGGAAACGGGTTGTGGAGGACAAATATGTAAACACTCACACAAACTCAGGAAATTCCATTGGGATTTCGGAATCTTCCATGAGTGACGGGGAGAAGAAAAATGTGGAGCCTCCCACTGGAAATTTGGTATCGTCATTCATAATCCATCGTAAATTGCTTATATTTTTCGCAATAATTATATACATCATTCTTTGATTTTTTTTATTTTCTTAGCGGAAATACGAGAAGCAAGTCTCATGCCAGAGTGGCAAACTTCAGCAACCCCTACATTCCAATACCCAAACCCACGAAGATCGAACGGGTGATGGTGCTGTTTATACTCCTGGTTCTCCCCGTATTTGAGATACTATAGGAATCGCTGAAGTTCCTAGGGAGTTGAATATATAATCCCATAATAAACAGCGATAAATATATACTGTATATTATTAAGATTTTGCTGAATCACACAAATTGAATAATCTTGAATCTGGATTACCAGGAGCATGGCAAAATGTTGGCTAAAGAATCACTTAATATCAGTGCATTCCGTTTATTTTTCTGTGTGAGCAGGATGGAATTTAAAAGGAAATTTGATGTAAAAAAATTTTTTCTCTGGAAGAGACTAGCTACTGTATGTCCTTGAGCTGCTTATTGCCGAAAATATTTGTTATATTCCTCCTCTCATATGAGTTCTGTGATTGAAGCTCTGTTGGCGAAATGCTTGCTTCCATTTATATTAATGGCTAATAAACAATGATTACTTTTAAAGTTGAATTTTGATCATAGTGTTAATTTGTCGTGTCAATAGGGAGTGTAATGTATTAACATCATCTTACAATAACACGTTTACGCCTAAGTTAAATTGGTATATTGAAAATTGGCCCGAATATTTTCCCGCAAAGGACGTCATTACACTCATTTTTTCACCAAATCAAACAGGTTTTTTAAATATTAATTAACTGTATGAGTTTTAATTAATACAGTAACAATAAATTTCATAATGCTTTTCAATCATACTCCACACGGTAAATATCGCTCAAAAACTCAATGGGAAACATATAACGTAAAAGGAAAACCTTTTGGGATTCACAGGTCTCATGATTTTAGAAAAGTCGGACTTTTAACCAAGAAGTTGGTGAAAGCCTTGGAATTAGCCTAACCTAACAGATTTCTTCGCCCTCTGCAGACCTTGGTTTGCCCATTGACACGAATGCACAGCTCGAGATGCTTTATCGATCGGCACAGGTTTCATTATACTATTTCATTAGGTAGAAATGACCTACATTGTATCCTATGAGAACCCTACTTCAGAGAATATTTCTATATGTTTATTGATGAGCATGAGGTACAGTGTAGGTTAATGGGTGCAGCCATCCCTAGATAATTTAAGTGTTTTGCTATAAATTGGATTATATATTCTTCGTTATGCACAAATTATATGTATTTTTGGCTGTATATGTAATAGGGGTTCAAAAGGTAAGTGTGAGTGAAGAAGCTAAGAGGTCCTTCGAGTCCATGGTCTCATTCGTGGAGACCACGATCAAAATGGATCGGGTTAATTCTTTGAAGCATCAGAAAATACTGGAGAAATGCAAAGAGCTTCATGCGAAACTGCAGGTAAGCAGCATTCATCCATGAACATGTGTCGTCACTGGAACTTGTCTATGTTTCTTCTTCCAGAGCTGGAGACTAGAGGTATATACAGGTTGGACGAAGGATTTGAGGAAGCTATTGAAAGAACACCATATTCCAAATAGCTTCCCATCCGACAATGGTACAAAAGGTGCTGGGTCTGTTTGTACTCCTGGATCTCCTGAGTATAGATGTATTTCAAAAACCGCCTCTGTTGTTGGAGACTTGAGTTAAATTTTATACTGAATAGAAAAATGATTTTGCATAGAATTGAAAATTTTCTTATCTAAGCCGAAAGGAATTTAGAAATAATAGCGAAAGCATATGCATACACTAGATTCTGGAGAAGAATGACTCATGTTGTGGAGATTTTTTGTCAAGCAGAAGTGTCATAATTCTTCACTCATAGGGGTTCTATTATCGTTCTATGTGGCTAAAAGGTGCGTTTGCCTTTATATGAATAGTTCGAAGTGCAAGGAGAAATTCAAAAGGTTTTGGATCTTTGGAATTTCTTGTGTCTATGGGAAGTGCAATGAACTCACATTGTCACACATTGTTTTTTTCTGTCAAGGATAAATTGCATGAGTATTTGGTTATGTGTGCGATAGGGGTTCCAAATACAAATGCGACTGTACGAGCTAGGGAGTCCCTAGTGAACCTCATCTCACAAGTGGAGAGACATATCAATGAAAAAAATCCGAAATTGAAAGTAATCTTGAAGAAATGCTTCGACATTAAAAACAAGCTCGATGTCGAAGAAGTGGTATGCTGCATTCATCACATTCAAGGACCCTGCATTATTTAAAAATATGTTCAGTCACTAATGCTCGTCTAATTTTCTTCTCTTAGAGTGGGAAAATATATGAGAAGATGAAAAAGATGAAAAGCGAGCTCGAACACATGTTGAAAGAACACGAACTTGGCAGTCTTCTTGCTGAACTTGGTGATCGGAATGATTATACACCTGCATCTCCAGGGAATAGAGGTAATATAGAAACTACACATGTTGGTGAATTGAGCATAATCGCTAATAAACAGGGGAACATATTTGTCCAATATTAAGATTTTCATGACTTACTCATCCGATTAACAGGTGGATGAGAAAATGTCAGCTAGGGAATCGCTCGAGGTCTCTACATTGTGCATAAACAGGGTAGCGCAGAAAAACTTAGACCATTTCAAATACCTATAAAATTCTTATTTTTCTTTTGATACTTCTGAGACTGTCTATTAAAAAGTGCAACCCAAAAAGTTGTATTAGCGCTGTCTTTTTATTTTCTAATTGGTTGAAATCGTGCAAATAGACGAAGATAAAATAATACTCAAGGTATCAGAATGTCCGTAGACTAATGCCCCTATTCTTGTTGTTGCAAGACATTTCGGAGAAAACCCCATGGAAAAAATCCACCAACAATGCAGTGCACCATGAAGTTTCATTATGGAGCAAATTTAAAAAATCTAGAGTAAGGCAATTCTGACCTGCGAGCGACACTGCATACCCTGCCAAACATTTACGGTATCAAAATCAACCTAAAGAAAGCTGAAAGAATGCCTGGTGCAGCACGCACAGGCAGTCGCTGGCCAGAAATGCCTGTTGGACAACTTTTAGACTCATTATTATGTACCCTCCTGACAATTTTGTGCACTTGTAAGTTTGTGGATTCCCTCCAGGTATTTCGCTGTAACTATCTTGCGACAACAAGAATAGGGAAGTCATTTTACTGATATTCTTCAACTTTGGATGCTCCTTTTCTTCAGGTATCCGCACGAACAATCTAAAAAGAAAATGACAGTGTTATTGAAACTTTTCAAGTTGCGCTTTACAATAGACTTTGATGAATATCAGACAGTATTTTATGATGATATGAAATGGTTTCAGGTTCAATGTTCAAGGTGGTTTAGTGGTATTAACAAGCGATAACACCCACTTAGATACCACGTGTCAAGGTCGAGCGTGCCTAGGGTAGGCCTAATACTCTTAAAGCAACTTTTTTTAGCATATCTTAGTTGCACACTACCAAGTCCCTTCAGTCAATATTGCCCCCTTCCTTGCTTGTTCATAATAGCATTTATTTTCTTCTTTCAAATAAGCACCGGAAGGGGCAGCCACTACGTCGTCGTCTAACGCATTCCAAAAGTTAGTCACACTACGAGTAAAGAAGTCCTGTCCCAACCTGAGCCGCACCTGCGGTTAATGCAACTTTAGTTGGTTACCTCTCGCTCTCTTGCTGCCGACGAACTATAAGAACATACCACACTCGACATGATCTATTCCTTCAATTATCTTGAAAGCCTGGATGAGATCGCCTCTCGACCTATCTCGTACAGTCCCACCACTTCTAAATGCGTCTCGTACGAAAGCCCCTTGACCTCCTTTATCATTCTCGTGACCCTCCTCTGTACCCCTCGAGCGCCAACAATTCAACCTTATTTATAGGTCTCCAAAACTGGAGGTAATATTCCAACTGTGGTCTTATTAGCGCTGCATACAAGGAAAAAATAACGCGCGAAGTCCTACTTGCAACCGAACGACGAATGAAACCTACCATCTTGTTACATTTGACCACCGTCGCCAGCGCGTGCGTGGAAAACTTGAGGTCTTCGTCAATAGAAACTCCCAAATCTTTCTCTTCGTTTCCTTCCCCAATTTATTCTAGCCGAACGTGTCGGGAGACCAACCATTCTTCCCACCGACATAGAGAACTTTACATTTATATTTATTAAACCACTTCTTATCTTATTAGATCACTATAAAGCCCACTTCTTGCTCCACTCATCCAAAAGACTCAAATCCCGCTCGGCTCTACCCATAACAGCCACCTCCTTATAGAAAAACCTATGTTGGTGCTGTTGGCAAATTTATTTATGACTCTACGCCTAGATCCAAATCGTTTATGTAGACCAGAAACAGAAGTGGTCCTTGGACCGACCCTGAGGGACTCCGCTTGCGACACCGATCTCCGTTGACACTTCCCCATTTACCATTACTCGTTACTCTCTTACCGTCAACCAGTTAATGATCCACTCGTTTGTCCTACCCTGGATCCCGAGCGCGTCCAATTTGACCCGTAGCCTCCTGTGAGGAACGTTATCGAAACTTTCGCGAAATGTAAATAAACGATGTCCACGGGATTCCCCTTATCCCTCTTTTCCTTCGCCCGATCGTAGAATTTGAGGAAGTTGTTGAGACAATTACGACGCCTTCTATAGCCGTGCTGAGAGTTCCGGATGAGCGCTTTTCCTTGGAGAAAAGCCAAAATGTCGGCACTCGACGTGTTCTCAAAGCACAAAAAGGCCACCCTCGCTGTTAATTCCGGAATGTTGGGGAACCCCGAGAGTGCCTCCTCCACCCTAGCTAATAAATGATCCCTCTGAATCTCCTCAACCTCCCTCCTAATCCCTCTTACCACCTCCTCGGCGCTAATGAGCCGCCCCAATAGCTCCCGTAGTCGCTCTTCCAAGCTTTAAACATGCCTAGGTTGCATACTTTCATTCACTAGTCCCACCAACACAATTCTCGCAGGGAACGCATCTACACGTCCAAGGCATCTTACCTAATAAATCTGATCCTAATTGACTGCTGCTGTTTAGGCTCTTGCAATACTTCACACTATTTCTGACCCAGAAAGACTTTCCTGTTCCTTGGAGTAAAATGAATACTACGAGTAATGAGCTAATAATTAAAATAAGGAATGTGTTTGATACTGATCTAATGTGAAGTTGGAGGTAGCTATCAGAAAACATTTGATACTGCTACAAGGTAGCCAAATAACGACTAACCCACATCTTGGTTGACGGGACCTCGAGAGGATCCTCCAACCCTTCCTCAGTGTTTGTGGATCACCCTGCATTTTTGAACGCGCGGAAAAGGACAGAACGAAATTTTGACGAGAACACATTCATGTACTCTGGAAGAAAAGCAAAGACGCATTCGATTTGCCTGATGTCAGGCAGATGTGCCATTATCAATGAAACACCGAAATATATGAATGATAGGTGTTGTGCTGTTAATACGTGCAATATAATTTTTTGCTCTTACCATTTTTTTTATAATTCAGTGACGCGATGTCACTACCAATAAGCTATTTGTAACGTAAAGGGAAATATTTGGTTTCCTTAGCTCCCAATGACCCCCTTGAGAATGTTCCGTCATACATGCTTTTTAAAACATGACAGAAATAACCGTTTTTAAGGTCACGCTCATTTAACCCTTCCCTCTGCCACCCCCGAAGATCATGGGTTTGTTTCACATCACTTTTTCTGAATTCCCACCAGAAAAACTGCTCGTGTACCAATGTTCAGTTTGCAATTAAATTTAGGGTCATTCGAAATAAGCGCTCCCCCATTTTCAATTGGAGAGGGTAAGGCTCGTATGCTTAAGCAAATATTATACGATTTATAAACTGTAACGCTCCCAGTCGCCTTGCATGGCCGGTAGTACCACTCGTATGTTGCTGTACTTTAATAGCTACTCGGGAACTACCTTGACCGTCGCAAAACAAGAAAATGATTAAAATAAAAAAATGGATATTAGAAATTGTCTACTTGGGAAGGGTAATACAGGTCGAACGGAATCAGTAGCCGTTAAGCAAGGATTCCAACAGACTGGGTTTCACACAGGATTTCGTTTATTCTAATCTAAGGTTTACACTCCATACAAAGTACTCAAAAAGGGAAATGTACAGGATCTTTTTCAATACAACTTTGCGAGTTTTCGCTTTAGAAAAGTGAATGAACAAAAATGAAAGAATAGTTAACACTTCGAAGAACAACAAGATTCAGCTCACCCCCTCTATGCAGCACTTTCTCGAGGACTCGTGATTTGTGCAATCATGGCTAAACAACGAATTCGGAAGGGATTGCTCTGGCTCCATCCGTCCGCACGCACACAATCCAATTTCGGCCGTGCTATTTCTATACTTCCCTTCTGGGTCCAACCAGCAAGGAGCAAAATCTGGCCCCAACCAGATCCACCCAGCCCGGCTACAACGACCGCTAAGGCACCTCAGCTTCAACCGAGTAGAAATAGCAAGGCTTCGATACATCAAACTGGGACCCTAACCCGGTGCCTGATGATGGCAGCAGCGAAGGCTGGAACCCTTCACCAACCTCCACCAAAACCAATTCTTTGGAAAGAGCTGTGAGATGCAACGAATATTTGGCAGAGACGCTTATGTAATGTTTAAAGGGTAAAAAAAGTACCTTATTTTCCTGCCTAAAATTTTGCAGAGCGCGAATATTGGGAATCCGCTGGTTAACAACAGCGCCATCTATCGACCAACTCCATCTTGTGAATACACAAAAATCACTTAGACTGCCGAACTTTAAGTTGTATTCAAATTGAGTAGTTACAGTAACCGTGCAGTCAGAAATTTAGCATCTGGGGGTTGGGAAACATTTTGTGTTGCGAACAACCAAGCTCCCACTCGAATAAAGTAAAGCTCTTTCTTTTCCTCTGCTTGAAGTTCAGACATGTTTTTTCTATGCGGGCTATTCTCAAAATAATCCTACTGTTCGCCAAATTTCATTGAATTCTGAGACGGTCGAGTCCAGATCATTAGCTCGTTTGAGGTGGAGTAATCAACTTCTAAGCATAATTTAATTCACCTCTAAATGGACATTGCATGACTTAGGCAGGAGTGCTGAAAAAACCTGACATGCACCTCGACACATTATAACCGTCCAACGTCGCTCGCGTTATCAATATAATTTTCATTTGCATTTATGAAAAAGTTTCTTCCATAGAAAATGGTAGAATGTATATTTTTCATCACTCTAAATATTAATATTTAACCTACTTGAAATTAGATTTAGTCACTCACAACCGTCTAATTGGAATATCTGTTTAAAGTGCCTGCCATTGACATAATTTTTAGGGTAAATCATGAGTTTTTTGCACGATGATATTTTCACGCGTTCATAGGTCTATGATACCAAGCAGAATAAACATATACATATACAATGTATACATATACAATGTATACATATGGATACAACTAATAAAAACTTTCGCGCGTGTTATGTTACGACATTAAATCTCATTATCATCGCGACATTCCAGCTAAAGTAGCCGAATTCAAGGAGCATTCGTAGCACTTTTGACACAATTTGCTTCATAAAGTTTGTGAATGTCCATCCAAGAAATATGAAAAAAATATGTAACAAATTTGGCACTCTGACTCTAAACGGGTTTCAAGGTATGTAACCCCAAACTTAGCCCCCGGAGGAAAAGTGATTTTTGGGGTTCAAGCGCCAACTTTAGTCCTATTCTGGCTGAAAAAAAGCGTTTTTGGACACTAATTAAAACCGAGACAATATGAAATTACACTATTACATGCACATTCTACACCAAGGATTAATATTAGAAAATTGAGTTACAAAAATTCCCAAATTTGTAAATGTTGCCAATTTGTGTTGGCATATTTTAAACACTTGGATGCGTGATAAACAAGGAGCCTTTGGAACATTGCAAATATCGGCAACGTTAAAAAAGTAAATTTTTACATCCTTTGTCGCTTCACGCAACTTAAATTAACATTTAAAAGTGCAATATTGACTAATTTCACCATATTTGTTCCTACTTCCTGTTTAAAACGAGATCCAAACTTGGATCTAGTGTCAAATGAAACCTCTCTTCAAGCTTTTCCCATTTATATTGACATATTACTATTGTGGTTACTTGTAATTTTCGCATCTCCGTGTTTTTCTTTACTTTTGAATTCGCCAAATTACCCGATTTTGAAGATATGTGATGGTAATACTGGTTAACTGATCAGGCTTGGTAACACCTTTCATTTTACGTTTAGATTTATTATTTCTATTATATGCTTGTATTAAGCAGTAAAATATTAACATTCGGCATGTTTATGGATTTCTCAGAGCAAAATTCTGTCAGCATCTTAAACAGCAAGTACATGTCAGAAGAGTTATACTTCAGAATCGAGTGTGTTCCTTCAAAGTGCAATGTGGCGGTCACGTGTCAAATGCCAGTTTTTATAAGTCGAAGGACTTCATATATTTCAGTGAAAATGAACAGGAGGTTTGGAGCTAAGGTTTTGAAATTATAATATTGCGGGAAAAATGTTTCTCAATCATATGCATGTTTGGTAAGCGCGATATGACGCTTTTCTAGTGAGGTAGGAACCGTTTTAATCATTTCAATTAACTCAAAAAGAAAAGGAAGCGCAGTCGAGTCATTCCTCTTAAGATCTACAAAAACCATATTCCTGCCTTTGCCTTGGTTCATTGAATGACAGAAACTCCTTTGAAAGTGCTTCATGAAAGTATGCATCGCTCAGCCTCTCAGCAAAGTGGCTTCACAAGTAGGATGTTGTAGGCGGCTGTGATCGGCGAAGTGATCGTAAATTATTCCTTATCACTAACAAAACGCCAGCGTGTTCGAGGTTAGAATGACTCCTTAGACTCCTTGTAGTAATATAATGAATTAATTATAGTAATTACTGTTAGCCGCTGGCAACCAGGATTGGATGAGAACGATATTGAAGAGAATCAGAAATGGAATATTGAAGCCGTATTTGAAGTTCTATTACGAACAAGAGTTACCGAGTGAAGGATACGAAATGACCTATACATGAGTGATTATTAACATGGGATGAGACGACGTCCAATACTCACTATCAACTCTCGATCCGAAGTCCCTTCTCTCCGCTCACTCACAGCATTCAACAACATCCGCCAACCCCCCTTTTATCGCTCGCGTAGTCTTTTATAACTCTGTTTTCGGGACATGCGTGCAAGCACATCCGTCCGACCCGACTAGCAAGGTGTTTCGTAAAGGGTACCTCCTACAATGTGAAGGCAGTCAGGAAATGTTGAGTCATTCCTTCCTCGTAATGAAGGTCAAGCTCATTCGAAATAGTTATTTAGCAATTTTAGGCTCTCGTCAAGCAGAAGCAACCTTTAGAAAAAGGTTTCCATATAGGATAAGAGAGGTTATAAAAAAAATAGCATCTCTCGCGGTAGATGGGAGACATTAACAGGTGGGAGTCCTAATCCACCTGTGAACAACGACCTTCAATTATGATAGTGCCTTGCAAATCATGATATTGTATGTTGATGGAATTTGCTTCGATGTTTATGACATTAATTTATGGCATGATTAATGACAATTTAAAAAGAAATCTAGGAAAAATATATGCTTTATGCAAGTATTAATTTTAAAGTGAGAATGATGATATTTTGTCACTGTAAGGATGGGACGACCATGGAACAGTAATGAGTAAACACAGGAAACCAAAGTCGTAAAAGTACATTAAGGAGGTCACAAGGTCCTGAAGTCGTATATGAACCCAGAACGACTTTCAACTTAGCCAATGGGTCATGAGACGTCATAGTTCCATATCCAATCCAGATCCTGGATTTTGATGAAGGAACCAATGTTCTTCCCAGAAGTACCGAGGATATCGGCATGAAACTTAGATGTCGCAGTCAGTGGATATTTGGAAGGCACCAATGTGACCTTACCACATCTGGAACTGACTCCAGTGCAACCAACAATCAACTAATCAACTAATCAAGTCAGGTTAGCTCTGTTCCCTTAGTTTTGTGAGGAAGTGTGGCCAAGAGAAAGAGAGATGAAACACTAAGATGAAGAATATTCATTTAAAGTCATATGATTGCCTCGTTGGATCCTTGTCCCATCCAATTTTCTTTCTCGTATTGATTAACTTTATTCTTATAAATAAGTTCCGTTTAATACCTTAAGAAGATCTTGATAAAATTACTGCCGGTGATTTCCTTAGTTTGTACAGTGTTTGATCGCTTCTTTTATTGAATATTTCTTGTCTATATTTGTTATAAACTTGAGTACTTCGTTGAAAGAACACAAAAGTTCAATTTTTCAGAACTTCTTTCTCAATCGTGTATGCATTACCACTTGAATCTACAAGAAAACAGTATTTAACGCGTGTTACGTCGCACAATGTATACTTTATTGACCTCATGATGCTTTTTAAATGTAATGTGACCGAACCCAAAGAATGAAAATTTTCAATCCCGGCTCTATTTCCGCAAACAATTGGAACAGACTTCGTCTAATTATAATGGAATGACACTTAGACTGATGGAATAATCGAAACAAAGTAATATCTCGACCAGCGTTCCCTCTCTTTTTGAGATTATTGCTTTGAGATTGTTTTCACATTTGAAATATGTGACAACCATATTACACTTTGAAGGAAAACGACTTCATCCTGAGGTATGAATTTTTTCGTTGTATGCATTGGAGATACCAATGGAATTGTAGTGTTTGGAAATCATAAATATGTCGAAGATTAATATTTTACTACTCAATGGCTCATAATAGAATTAGCGATACTTGTTTTAAATTAAGTGTGAGGTATGCCCAGGCCTGGTCGTTTGACGAAGATTCTCATCGCTGTAATTTTAGTCATATTTCTTTCGGGAATGTGGCGAGTTAAAAAGTTCACACAGATGTGAAAAGTAAAAGTAACAACATTAGTGATAGATCAATAGAAAACGCTAGAAGAGAGGTTTCATTTAACACTTTATCAAGTGCGGATCTCTTTTTCAAAAGAAAGTACGAACAGACTAAATTGGTCCAAATAGGCAATATTGGACTTCACAAGTCCAACATTGTCTATTTTCTGTTGTTTAAAACAGATTGGAAGTTTAAATTTAGTTCCTAGAATTGCTATTGTTTTGGTCTGCAATGCTCCAAAGGCTCATTGTATAACCATGCATCCCGTTGCTCAAAATGTGCTGGGCAAAATTTGACGACATTAAAATTTTTGGAAATTGCGTAACTCAAAGTTTAATGCGTGGATTAGGAAATGCATGTTTACTACATCGCCTCAGCTTTAATTAGGGTTCAAAAACGCTTGTCTAGCTGGAATAGGAACAATGATAGCGCTTAAAGACCAAATGTCACTTTTCCTCTTAAGAACTAAGTTTGGGGTTGCATATCTCGAAAACCATAGAGCCAGTGTTACAATTTTGATGTAATCATAAGTCTTGAAT